TTATTATTATTTCATATCTTACACTGTCCATTGTCTCCCTTCACCCACATTTCTGTTATTTGTCCCCTTGGGGGGGGAGCTATGTATCTTGTGATGGGTTCCCCCTTCCCTCACTTCACCCTCCCCAGCCATCTCCCTACTCTCGTGATATCGCTACTCCCACTACGGTTCCTGAGGGGTTATCTGTCCTGAATTCCTTGTATCGAGAGCTCTTATCTGTACCAATGTGTGTTCTCCAGTCTAGCCAGATTTGAAAGGTAGAACTGGGCCTGGTAGTAGAGGGGAGGAAGCATTCAGGAACTGGAGGAATGATGTGTGTTTCGTCGGTGTTATACTACACCTTGATTGAATCATCCCTTCCTTATAACCCTTCTGTTATAAGGGGGTTATCCAATTGTCTACAGATGGGCTTTGGGTCCAAACCCCCTAGTTCGCATTAATAGAGTTTATTTTGAATTTTTGGATACCTGATCCTGTTGACACCCATGATCACACAGGCTGGTAGGCTTCCTCTAAGTGGGATTATTTGCTTCCCTCCTTGATGCTGCTTGTTTAAAACTTCAAGCCTTTAAGAACCCAGACTCTATATCTTTTGGTAGCCAGGCACCATCCTCTCTCTTCACCACATTCGCTTATGCACCCATTTGTCTTCAGCGATCTTGCCGGGAAGGTGAGTATCAAAGAGTGCCATGTTATCAGAACAGTGTTCTTGTGTTAAAGGAGGTCTTGAGTAGAGGTACAAAGTCTGTCAGCTGTCTTAATACTTAACATGTAAATATATGTACATTGGTCTCTATCCCTTTCATTATAAATTAGAATATTTACATATATACATGCCTATAGCTATACCTCTATAAATAGCTTTTGCCTCCTATTTCTTTCTTCTATTTCTTTTGACCTTCCTCCTGCCCCACTACCACTTCAGCCTCCAGTCTTCTCTCAGTAATTCCTCTCAGATACATTGCACTTGATAAAATCCCATCAGGCATTATATACCCTCTTCACCTTCAATTTTAGATTTTTTTAAAAATCATTTTATTGGGGGCTCATACAAGTCTTATCACAATCATACATCCATTGTGTCAAGCACATTTGTACAT